GACCATCAGCCAGAATACAAGGAATCCATTCGAAGGCTCTTAAATTCTACTGAACTATTGGTACAGGTGATTGCAACGAGATTCAATGCAAACTTTTACAGTTAACTGTGAAGCTCATTAAGCTATCTTGGAAAAAAACAACCTTATTATCCAATTTTTGCTGGGGTTCCGGAGTTGCTGACGTTGCTTAATTGAGCGTGATTTATTAGCATAGTTTTATCTGTGTCCCAAGCGAGAAGTGAATTATTAGTTGAATAACCAGATTAGTCAATGCCTAACAAAATTTACTTCCTATTTCTATTAACAGAGAGAAGGTTTCGCTTTTTGATACTATGGCTTTTCTTTCTTACCTGTAACGCAGTTCGATTATGGTATGTCAAAAATGTCACCTGCTCGGCTTATGCTGCCGTATTAGGGTTATTCGAATTCAGCAAATTTAGTGATTGGATGCAAGTAGGTGGCAGAATTTATATTGGGATCATGTGTAAAACAGTTGAAAACTGCTCTCCTAGAAAGGAGAGATAATTTCTGATATAGTATGATTAGCGGATTACGGCAGATTACGGGTTACCTCGTTTCTCAATTTGAACTTGACCTTATTAAACATTGAATTATTGAATCTCCTTTAAGGATGTATCAACTATGTTACGCAGGCCCACAAAATAAAAAGATGGTGTTGTGCTTGGGGTCTCGCTATGTTTCTTCTTTAACATGTTCCACGCTGAACACGAATCTGGAGTCAACATTAGGTTTAGTCACATTTTTTAAGAGATGGTTGTCACGTGCCCAAGTCACGTAATTTTTTTTACCATTTTGATCACTTATCAGTAATTTAAATTTCTCTTTATTAATAGTAGAGAACCAATTCCTAGGCCAAACTCTTTTCAATGATCTTCTTTTCGCAAATTCCATAGTTTATTGATTGTAATTTCTCACGTATTATATCTGTCATTCTCAGCGACTCAGTATTGTGTTGTATTTTTTTTTTGGATACTAACTTTATAGTATTATTAACGATTATCTGAGAAATTTCCTCATAAAAAATTGTTGGTCCCTCGTAGACAGATTTGGTTCTGCCTACAGTCTGCTCATTGGTAACCAGCGCGCCACTTGGTGATGTCTACACGTACTAGCCGTATATATGAATGTTTACCTTCGTATCAAGATTCCTTCTGTTAAAATTTGCTTTGCTATCAAGATCTTTACCGGCTTTTATCTGTTTCTTTTGATTTTCTATCGAACGAGCCTTCTTCAGGGCCACTTATTTAACCTTCTTTTAGGGAGTTGCGTGCGCAGACGGTCCAGCGTCATTTTCTTTTTCTTTATGATGTATTTCTGGTTGTGTGTGGGTGTTTTTTTTTTTTCGTTAACTTCCACATTTTGCGATATTAACGCCCCAAACACCAGTTTATGGAGTAGTACCCTTTTATTTTGTACCCTACGTTTAGTTGTGTTCGTTTGGGTACTACCCGTCCATCTTGTAATGAGATTTTAACTTCCAGCGGTAAGTTTTCTTTTGTATACCATCGGACTATGTCAATTAATGCTTGTACTGAAGATTTTTGTTCAATATCTGATTTTTTTTAGTGGAAAGCCATTGTGGAGAACCACCATTCAAACTCCTCCAGCTATGTTTTGTAGCTGCCTTGTATCCGATTTTGATAGAAGCCATCCCTTCCCTTTGACAAAAAAACCCTGATAATACTATTCGTCATTTATTTGTCTGGGCGGTCCGTAGGACCTTTGCCCATTAGTCACTGTCTGATGTACATTAGTCGAATCTGTCAGTCCTGGTTGCCCAGAAACCAGACAAAGTCAAGGAAAAAGAGAAAGGGAAAGAGAAGAAAAAAGGAGAAGAACAAAGAAAAACAGATATGCTTAGTTTAAGAGGAAACACCCACTTGGTACACGAATTAATTTTGAGGTGAACTAAAATTTTTCGATTCGGTTTTGTTAGAGTGTAATTTCGAGTTTACTAAAGATTCACGCTAACTTTTGATTACAGTGCGAGCCGTGGCCTTGAATGTTTACGAACTTGCTCCACTGTGTAGTCCACGGAGTCCCGCAACAGAGGGTTGCTGTGCGATTCCGCTTGACTATAACGTCGCTGCGCCTGAAGCTTGACATAATCCCTCAAGTAAGGAATGTCAATGTCTCTGTGTAGTGTCTCATTTGAGACATACCATGGAGCGTTGCAAATTGTCCGCAAAGTTCTGCTTTGCAGGACTTGAAGACTTTGCATGTGTGTCTTGGCAAGAAAACACCAAGCCGCACATGCATAAGTAATGGCTGTTCTAATAATCATTTTATATAGTCGAACTTTGTTTATCAAACTCAATTTGGAGGATCTACATAACAAAGGATATAGTTGCCGAAACCCAATTTGGAATTTTGTTTTTATGGATGATGTATGTTTCTGCCAGGTCATGCCTTTATCAAGGGTGACACCGAGATACTTGGCAGAATTTGTCCATGGTACACGATTTCCGTCTACAGAAACCTCTGATGGGGGGCTGCGTTTTTTGGTACAATAAATAACCTGCGTTTTCGAATGATTAATTTTTATTAGCTACCGTTCCGCCCACTCTAGAACTTCGTCCACCGCATTCTGCAACCCATCGTGAACCAGATCACCAGTACACGACTGGACGACAACTGCAGTGTCGTCGGCATAGAGGTAGACTTCACAGTTGCTGGGGGAAGGGACATCATGGATGAAAAGCGAATAAAGAATTGGTCCTAGGACCGAACCCTGAGGAACACCGGCCCGTACTGGCCGTATTGTTGACAAAACATTGTTAATTTTGATCCGAAACTTCCTTCCTTCAAGAAAGTATTTCAGTAATTTTAGAAGCCAAAACGGAAAATCCTTTTGGATTAGTTTATAGAGGAGGCCCGCGTATCACACCTTGTCAAAGGCTTTTGAGACATCCACAAGCAAGATGCCAGTACTCATGCTGAGGGTGAACCCTCTGGTTACATGCTCCACCAGCCTGACTGCCTGTAGCTCGGTGCTATGCTCGGACCGAAAACCGAATTGGACGTCAGGAATCACATAGTGATTTGACGAAAATTCTCAAGGTGACGATAAATCACCTTTTCGGCGAGCTTAGAAGGAGCTGACAGCAGACTTATGGGATGGTAATCCTGAGGAAATATCGAATCCACCTTCTTTGGAATCATGATGACCTCAGCAGTCTTCCACCCAGCAGGGAAGTACTGGATTTTGAGCGTCGCATTGATTATTGTCACCAAGTATGTCAGGGCTTTCGGCGAGAGCAGCTTCAACACCTTGTTGGTGATTTGATCCTCCCCAGGTGCTTTACGCACCTTGAGGTCTTTAATATGACTTAGTAACTTAGTAACTCCGCTGGTGTGCAATGTGGAAACTCGGAGGGTTCCGCTAATGTGCTATGTGGAGTCTCAGACGAATCTTCTGAAGAAGAGTCATCTGAAGAGGATTCTGTGCCTCCGCTAACGCCGTTGGCTCTAAAATATCTTCTGACGGATCGTACGATGTGCTGTTCCTCGTCGAGGTCATCATCGAGATCATAGTTGGGAGAGAACTGTTTTTCCATGGCATCAGCGAAAAACTTGACCTTATCCTCCGTTCTGAAGACTATGCCTTCAGGACCGTGGATGTGTGGGAGTTGTTCTCGCTTTCCTTTTCTGAGTGACTTTGCGACCCTCCAGAGAGGAATACTTGAATCAAGCATTCCCGCCAGAAAGTCGCTCCATTGCTCGTTGCGGAGTTCGTGCAGTGCGTTTCCCACTTCATGGACAAGATTTGTAGCCCTACGAATGTCATCAGGATGACAAGACCTTTTTGCCTGCTTAATAGCGGCTCTTTTGTCAGAGATTTTCTGACGAATGTCCGCAGGCAAAAAAGGTCTGTCGTGTCGTTGTACAGGAAATACAGCTGCACGCTGTACAGCTGCTTGAATGAAACTTCTCCACTCCACTTGAGCGGTATCTAATCCAGACTCTAAGGAGCAACTTGTATAGGTCCCAATCAATGCGTTTCCTTGGAGGAGCTGCCTCCTCAGAAGTTTGCTCATTGCCCACATCCAAGACAACAGGTAGATGGTCACTAGAGATATCATACAAGATTCTAGAAGAGATACTGTATCTACAGTTTTTAGATATCGCGAAATCGATGACATCTGGTGCCTGAAGATGGTTGAATGGATGATGTGTCGGCTCTTCAGTGCTATGTATAAGGTACCCATTTTGCATCACATAGTTGTACAATCGAACCCCACTAGTGGAATTCAATCTAGAATTCCATGCTCGATGTTTGCAGTTGAAGTCCCCTGCCACAATAAGTGGACCCGAGCAGTCCAAAAGGACCTCCAGATGCGCCTCTTGTAGCCTGGCACCACACCTGACATACACCGATGTGATCTTCAACAAGACACCTCCCGCCATATTGACCACCACAGAAGCTGCTTCGATGCTATGCATCTCCGCATTAGTGCTTCTATGATAGTCTATACCGCGCTTAATCAACGCTGCTAAACCGCCGCCTCGACCATTCAATCTGTCACCTCGGATAATATCATAATTCGGGAGAGCTAAACGATCTCCTGGATTAAGCAACGTTTCCTGCAGCAAGGCCACATCTATGCCTTCATCCAAAAGAGCTTAATGAAATTCCTGTTTTTTGGGAATATCCCTCAGGCCCAAATAATTATAAAAAAGAATTTTGATAAATGCAGGCTGTCTACTATTGTACCCAGGCCCTCAAGGGAGGTTGGGCAGAGGGGGCAGGCAAGGTTGCCTCCCGAGCTGCGTCCGCGTATGATATATTGCGCCTTTGTGCTATAACTTGCAAGTTCCTCCTTGGAGTGAATTTGCAAGTCCGACTATTTGCGGGATGTCCCTCTCCACGGTTCGCGCACTTGCGTTCTTCCTCTTGAGGGGGCATAAATGCGTCATGTGGTCCTTTGCATTTGGGCGGTGCAGTGCAATATGACTGCACATGCCCATACTTTTGGCAGCGGTGACACTGCCCAATGAGTCTGGAGTTTTTCTGAACCTCAACTCGAATGGCCAGTCCCAGAAGTTCGTGTTCGTTGAACACTTGCTTCAATCGAATGACGTGAAGAGGGCTATATCCCCTCTGCTCCAGTTCTCCCTTAATCTCAGTATCCGAAAAGCTGACGGGAACTCCTCGAACCACCGCATGGATGTTCCGTTCCAAAGGGAGAGGAAAAGTGTGATGGGGCACTTCTTCCTCTCGGAATAGGCGAACGATCTTACGGTAGTCGTCCTCGAATTTAGGAATAATCCTTATTCCCGCATCAACGGCAAACGCGCGATCTATTTTAATACCTAGGGAAATAAACTTGAAATTGAAAGTACGCCATCTCGTCCCGTCGCGTAAGACGATCGGGGTTTTGCGCCCTTGTCGTGAGGGTTGTGTTGATGCCACGACGGTTGGACGAGATGACGGAGGAGAAGTAACATCGGCTGACGGAGTCACCTGACAGGTAGGTAACGTGGTCCCTGGCTTGGTAGTAGAAGCATTAATAGTGGTTTGATTTGATGAATTGGGGGAGGTGTGAAATGGAATTGATCCTGTATTCGGAAGAGGGAGAAAGTCTTGGGTTGATCGATCAGCCTTGTCGCCTTTCCTCCTTCTTGATTTTGCTTTTACAAATCCTTCGGTCTGTACGTCTTCGTCTGTGGATGTGAGATGATCATCAGTAACGTTTCTCAGTGGTCTTTTTAGGGTCTTTGTCTGTTATTTAGGGGATTCTTTTGAATTTAGTAATATGGTTACCTGGGCGGTCAGGCTGTCAATTTTGGCTGTCTGGTCCTTGATGGTTTCCATTAGGTCTCGAATCTGCCTCGCCTGGTCGTATATAATCAGCATCAGTTTTTCGTTCGTTTTCTGCTCCGATGACATCTGCGTCGGTAAGCTCATGTTTTCTGATTCTGCTTGGTTTCCGCCACCGCTCAGCTCTTTCCTCATAGTATGTGGAACTGCGTCGTCTGTTGATCCTCCTTGGTCAATTTCCATCTTTTATAAACTTTTTCTCGCCAACAAATCTCTGAAAACTTATAGCTCGCAAATGTGACAATGTTGTCAAAACCTACTTACAGGGCGTTCAAAAAAAAACCCTGATGTGAACAGGTAAAACATATCATTTCAATTGGGCATTTTATAGATATTGATATATTGATTGTTGCTGACTGAAATTCTTAGAGCGTTCTTGACTTTTTTGTCATTTTACGTATTCAAATATAGGGTACTGCCTACACGTCACTGTCTTTTGGGATTATTCATTACATTAATCATGATTTTGAATTTTGAGCTTACATGACTTATTTAAGAACAAATGCAACTTTCTAAGGATATATCACTTTGGTATATTTTTATCCTTTCTTGCCCTTGCAAAAGGAAGAGTAAATTTCTAGTAACAGAGGATGTACATGGACCTTTCAAGTTTTGAGTCTTTAAAATGTGTAGGTCTATCTCGGACATAGAGTAGAGAGTAGACTTATAAACAGTCTTTCTCTCTCTAGGGTTTTTTTAATATACCGTAAATTTTGGAAACGAGGCAAGCAGCCCCAACCTGGTGACGTTCCTAACGTCACTACTCACTGGTTTTTGACCTGAGCGTTTATAAGCTGTGGACATCTCAGCTGCACCTATAGCTGTAACTGGAAGAAAACCATTCCAGATAAGACCATTATCCACATCAGTATAGGCTTAATCATTAAAATATTTGTAAAACCTATATTTGGAAAGGCTTCGTACGTGTACCATGGTAAACGTTTTGCAGGGTTAATTATTACGCTCTAATAATTCTGTTGTCAGGTAGTTTTGAATATCTCGTCTTTTAACTTGCACTCCAGTGGTAGAGCATATGTGCTGCTTGTTTTGTTTAGTTCTATTTTGCTCTCTGTATACAATTAATTCAATTCGTAAACTTGTGGCTTAATCCATCTTGAGTCACTGGCGCTCTTTACCCCCCCCCCCCCCCCCCGCCCTACTCTCCGCTTTATTGAGGGCCTAAATTTGCACGCCACTTGACAGCTGTTTTGCATTGAATGACCCTTACATTTCATTTATAGTAATTTATTAATTCAGTAATTAATGTAAAAAAGGAAAGTGATCACACCACCATTTCCTCCTGTTTATAAAAAAGGCGTGGCGTGGCACATCCACCATAAATACAAAAAAAGATTTGTCTTATACAGTGAGACCTCCAACATCCTGTCTAAGCGTTACCACCGAGAGTACAAGGCCAAACAACTGGGCTGTGACGTCATGTTCTTATGGAGTTTTGCGATGCTGGCTGGCAAGAGAGCAGCGCCACCATTTCTCTGCGGTGTTGTCATATCTAGATTTGATATAGCAGTATCGAAATCTCTACTAATTAATTGAACCTCTCTGTGGGCGGATTTGCAAGATGTACTCGGGGCCTGCGCAGCTTCAGTGATGATGTGATTATTCTTTCTGATCTGCCTCAGTATGTCAAGAATACATTTTAGATATTACTTCCAATCTAATAATTGTGAAGTCTAACAATTGGAATATGTGGCAACCTTGGTAACACCGGTAACATCCAACAGCCAACTAACCTCAAATTCTGATCATATCATATCTTTCTGTGCTATGTAAACTATAAATTAAGTTTTCAAAATGGAAGGGTCCGAAGGTACACGTATTTTCGTTTCCATTGAATGAAAACTATCGTAAAAGAAAGAACCTTTTCAGATTTGCAAAACCTGGTAAGGAGAACATGATTCTATTGATGGATGAAATACACATTCAGCCATATTTAGATTCCAAAGGGGGTAATATTATTGGAACGTCAATTAATAATGCTTCATTAGCTACAACAGCCTATGTGTTTATGATTTCAAGCTTCTACTCTAATTTCAAAGAAGTTGTTCAAATCTGTCCTGATTCTAAAATTGATCATAATCTATTATACAATATTACAAAAAAAAATTATTGGATTAGAAGAACTTGGTTATACTTTTTTTTGTGTTGTGAGTGATAATAATGCACTGAATGGTAAAGCGATGGTATATTTTTCTCCAGATAATAAAGCCAGCATTGTTTATCCGTTGGATAAAAAACGTCCCCTATTCTTCCTTTTTGATACAGTGCTCCTTCTAAAATGTATCCGCAGATAAATTGGAGCTGCGAACAAAAACAAAAGAACACTGCCGATGCTATGCAAAACGATAACTAACCACTGTTATCGTTTGCGATCAATTACTGGTTCAATAAGAGTGATGATGGCCGACGCGCTGTTGTCGCGCATGTTTTAAATATTTCAAACTTACTTCTTTACTGGCTACAAATTTTGGCTCAACTTAGAAAAACTTAATGCCTTTTATTTGTTAATTACCCAATTTAAAAAAGTTTTAGATTAGATTATAAAAATTAGTAAGATTGTGGTGATTGTGGTCGATATAAAGCACTTAAAGCTGTAAACTATAAAGCCATTTAGACAAAAATCTATTGACTTTTGGACCATGGGTCATTTGACTTGTTTTGACTCCCCCTATTACCCATTTCAATAATGACCACAATAACGTTTACGCCCTGTATTACCTAGTCAGTTAACCTTGTCATGTGTGGGTCATATATTATATGCTGATGAAGCCCAAAGGATATGAAAAGCTGTACCACTCGTATCATATTATTATCATAACTATCATTAAAACGTACAGTATCATCTTCCGCTACTAATACATTAACTTTTGGACCCTTTTTTAATACTGAATCCAAGGCATTTGTCATTGTTTCTAAAAATGTGTCAATATTTTTTATCACAGCCGATCCATATACTCTCATCACAACCAAATTTATAGTTTTACAGTAACACGCTAATATTTCACAAATTTGTTTCATTGATTTGTTCCAAGATGTTTCAGTTTCCTGTCTTTTATAATATTAGGATTCACATAAATGCAACTTCCGCCATTTTTCACTTGACTTCTACAGTAATAACTAGTAAGCTGCGGGCTACATATTCCTATTTATTGTTCCTCTTTAAGCCAGTTTTCATTCAGACATCTGTATTATCTTAATCTTAGGATTTTGAAAAATATGGTGTTCGAGTTCCAAGTATTCATTTGACAGACGCTGTATGTTCAGGTGCATATCTATAAAACAGTTGAGGTCTCTCCTAGAATCCAAAATTATATAGTATGTAAGGCTTAATGGAAAATGGAATAAAACTGGAATATTTTAGTGGCAAGTGTGTCCCGAAGAATATATGCAATAAATTTAGTAACAAAATAATTTTTCACAGATCTTTTGACTCCTAAAGGACCCTGTACATTACTAGTAATTTCTGTTATTACGCTTGCGTTGCACTACCCGGAGCTCCCCAGCACATAAAGTAGACATGTGCAGCCGGATTTGCTGTGAATCAGAGTAGGCACATCAGCCCATTATCACGTCTGCTGTGGGGTAGAATCGATTTTAGTTCTACAATCATCTATTTTTGGACCGCATTCACAACGTCAAGTACGTGGACAAACACACAGGAATTCTCGTTTGTGGTTTTCGATCGTGACATACGAGTTCTCCTGTTTGTGGACTGGGCATCAGAGATATCTTTGATGCATCTGGTTGCATGAAGGCTACGGGAATCTACTTCCATTTAAAGACTAGAGGAATGATTATTTCTAGAGCAGGCATCAAGACAAGGTCATCGTATAGATACATGTGACTACTGCAATGTATAGAAGTGCAGATATGCACTAGGCCTCTCTTATTTCAGTGAGTTTTTCAGCAGCGTCTATGTCACTCACAAGCCCCATAATAATGCCTCACTAAATCATAGTAATTTATTTGTCTATTTTCATCCAATTGAGGAAAATGAAGTCAGGAAGGCCATTAAATCACTAAAGGATAAGATGACATCTGGTCTAGATGGATCCCGTCCTTTATAGTCAAAGATTTTGTGGAAGTGTTTGTTGGTGTTCTAACTAGGATTTTTAATATTTGTCTTATAACAAAAAGATTTCCAGATATTTGGGAAATTGCTAAGGTCTGTTCAGTGTTTAAGTGTGGGGATAAGTCAAATATTGAGAATTACAGGGCAATCTCTAGTCTTTGGAATAGTCTTGTAGAGTCGCATTTACACTGCCGTCCAGCGTCAGCTGTCATTGCATCAACACGGATTTGTCGCTAATCGCTCAACAACCACAAATCTATTTATCATAACGCAGTACCTCTCGGAAGTCATTGATAGTAATGAGGAAGTTGACGTTATTTATACCGACATTTCGATAAAATTAACCACAAAACTTTATTAAATAAGTTAGGTGCACTTGGTTTCACACATGATGCTAGGGAGTTGATGAAATCTTACTTATCCGATCGTAGACAATTTGTTAGCTATAATGGCTTCAAATCTGAGACCTACTTGGCACCTTCTGGAGTTCCTCAGGGGTCCAACCTGGGACCATTACTTTTTTTGATATTTATTAATGACCTCTGTGACTCAGTTGAATGTGAACGCCTATGCTCTGCTGACGACCTAAAAATTTATTCGCAGATAAATACTCTTGATGATTGTATCAAGCTGCAACACCAATTAAATTTTGTGCTGTCTTGGTGTGTAGAAAACAAGTTGGAGCTTAATGTGAGGAAGTGTACAATAGTCAGCTATACCAGGAAAATTAATTTTTGCGAATATCCGTACTCTATTGATGGGTCTGTGCTAGAAAGATGCTCTGATGTACGTGATCAAAAGTTAACTTTTAGTCAGCATATAAATAAAAAAGCATCAGAAGCATTGGCGGCTTATGGATTCATAGTAAGGAATTGCAGGAATTTTCATAACATAAAGTCTATTAAGCTATTATATTATGCTTATGTTAGATCCAAAGTCGAATATTGTAGTATTATTTGGAGCCATTACTATGAATGCTATAGCACAGCTATTGAAAGAGTACAACGAAGGTTTATGAAGTTTGTTCTGTTTAGGATTGATGGGCATATCCAGAGAAAGGTACAAGTAATGAGGAACTATGTAGTCGCTTAGACATGTTGACTTTGAAAAAACGTAGGTGCTGTGCCTCAATAATATTTGACTACAAAATGATCAACAATTTACTTGATTGCCCCTTGATCCTGGAACAGATCAAGTTTCGTACTCCAACGTTTGCATCTCGCAATCATAAAATATTCGGGCTTCCTAGAGCTAGGACAAACATTCTTCTCAAGTCACCGTTATATGTAATGTGCTCTAACCTAAACAGAATTGGATGCTACTGTGATATATTTACGACAAATGTTAATTACCTGCTAAAGGCACCTAAGGCTTATTCGGACCAATCGCTCATGTTACAAATTCATACCTGTGTTGCATTTGTTATTTTCTTTTCGCTTTTCCTTTTTGCTTTTGTATTATGTTTATAAATTGTCCTATAAATGGGAAACTGTTGGACAATAAAGCTATTATTATTATTATTCCAGCTTTCACATAAGATCCGTTCTCTGCAGACATTTCCTATCCATAAACTGATTCATAGGACAAATTGTTTTCGAAATTTCATTATTTCAATAATTCACGTATGTTATATGTGCCCTTAGCCACCCCTAATCTAGCTCTGCCAAAAAAGTTCTTCTTAGATGATGTGGTCCGTCCATGAGGTTTGTATTCTCCCGTCAAATTTCATATTCATAGGTCAAACAGTTTTCGAGATGTCGTGATTAATGGGTGTAGGTACTTGCGATATTATATGTTTCCCTCTAGCACCCGTCGGAATGTCCGTTCTGAGTTGACATACTCTGGCCATAAAGTACTTCTTTGCTAAATTTCATATCCATAAGCCAACCAGCTTCGGACATACTGAAGAAAGCTTAAACCTAAGAGTAACTGCATCTCTGTGAACGTTGGTGTAGCAGCTTTTACGGTGTTCGTTGGTTTTGGCCATATTGAATTTGTGCACTGCTGTCACAAAAATTCTGACGAGTAGGTCGTTCTCTGTCAAGTCGAGTCAAAACAGAGTAGCAGTTGTCATTCAGTGTGCAATTAAAAAATAAGAAATGAGAAAGAAGAAAAAGAATGACGAAGAAATTACTGAAAATGGTCAAGAAAAAGAGAGGATAGAAGAGAAGGAGAAGAGAGAAAACAAACTCATTGAAACAGGTACAAAAAAACTGCTTGGAATCCTTAAAACAATAGATTATGTCGCTCAAAGATGAACTCGAACTACGTAATCAGCTCCTGATTGAGAAGGATACGCTAATTAATCAGCTGACTAATGAAAACCGCCGATTTGTAAAACAATATTATATACTATCCTCAAATACTGTTCGGATAGATTCATTAACCAGCACACTTCAAAAACTCAGTGAAAGGACGGAAAAGATAGAAAAATCTGATGTACGAAATTATTCATATTCCCAGGCAGTCTCAACTGAGGTACCACGCAGCATAAAAAGAAAACCACTTAAAAGTATTATTGTTTTGCCAAGTGAATGACAATCAACGTATCAAACACGGAAAGATCTGAACAAAAACTTAACTTAAAACATAATTCTATCAAAACTCCAAACATATATTGATGACGTGAAAAACTGCAGGAATGGAACTATTGAAATCAATGTTCAAGACTGTGTTCACGTCAAGCTGAAAAATGAAATTGAAGAAAGCATGTCAACAACTTACAAAGCTGAACTACAAGAAGAAATAATGCGCCAAAATCATTTTGTATCCAAAGGAGATGTTACATAATATATGAAATATCTTACACACAAAAAGTTTTATACAATATTTGATGAATTGACAGGTAGACTATTCAAACACATTTTTGATCAAAACAATGTCAAAAATTTATTAGGCATGCAAAATATATCAGTATATGAAAATAATGAAATCAATAAATGCACCGACTGCTTCAGATTCCACCACTAAGCCAATATGCCAAAATCATACAGTATGTTATAAATGTAGAAAAAATCATGACAGCTCATCTTGCAATCAGTCAGCTACCACATGCTGCAACTGTTCTTTTGCAAATAATAGATGGGCATTTCCCCATTAACTGGAAAATAGCTGTCCCATGCAAAATTTATACAGGGTGTTTCAGACCTATGGGATCAAACTTGTAGGAGTTATTCACTGTAACAGTAGAAAACATTTGAGTATAGAGATCCATATCCGGAAAAGTGTCACTACGGCACTACGGCCCTAAGACGCGTTAAAATTTAGAAAGACGATGAATAAATAGGATAAAAATAGGATTTAATGTACCTAGTTTTTGTCTTTTGTACATATCATCACAACAATTGTTCAAAATGTCTTCCTCCAACCAGAATACACCGATTTATATGGGTCCCTATGCTCAATTGTTTTCTACTGTTACACTGAATAACCCCGAATAGTTTGATCCCTTAGTTCTGAAACACCCGGTATAATAGATCTTATTATTACTCAGTTCTATATAATAATAACTATGACTTATTAGTTATTCTTGATACGCCATTGTCCGTTTTCTTATACAATACGGTAATATTAAATTTAATGCAGTTCAAACACCTAAGTAAACAGTCCCCTGTCGTGTCCCATTTTGAGTACGAGAAGCCTTATGACAAATGTTTGATACTATCAATGTAAATTACTGATTAAATTATATACAAATAATACTGGGATACACTAAGTATCTTTAAAAACCACAATTATATTTTTAAGATAAAAAAAGAATTACGACACTGAAAGCCAAACGTTGTCCCTAAGTTTTTTGAACAGTCCCCTGCCACAATTTGGAAATGGCGCTAAAAGTATACAACATATTGGCGTGGTTGTTTTCATTGTGAAAACGAACACATCCTATGGGAAGTGCACAAAGCTGCAGAGTGAGAGGGTGGACGTCATGATTATTTAGTGTTACTGCTGCGTTTATCTGTGAATCACGCGTCTTGGTTGATAGTTGTAACAGTCCACTGGTAAGTAACTTTTTTGTTGATTTGAGTGATTAAATTGGAATAATTATATAGCATAATTACCCAAAAAGTATATTTTCATGTCAGTCTAATCATTATGTATAGTTCTTGAATGACTGTATCATAAGAAACATTCTTTGTTAAAATAACAGTCCTATGGGCACAGTCCCCTGACAATTTTTGGGCCAGGGAACTGTTTCATGCTACAGGGGACTGTTTATTTCAGGCAAAGTCAAGTTCAATTAGCAAGACTATACTGCAGTGATAATTAATTTTCAAAATATTGTATGTCTTTCAGTTAATTCATGATTCCAGCCAAAAAAGAGCCACCCAAAACCAGGGAAAAAATCTTAGAACAAAAGCGTATGGCCGAACGTTTAAGATACGAATGACTTTGACAAAAAAGAAGTCGCTGATTTGAATACACCAACTGAGGAGAA